CTTCCTTCCTTCCTTCCTTCCTTCCTTCCTTCCTTCCTTCTTTCCTTCCTTTCTTTCTTTCTTTCTTTCGATGATAACACTGGCTTTTTGTGTATGTGTATGTGTGTGGTGTTGGAGATTGAACCCAGGGCTTTGTGCATGTAAAGCAAACACTCTACCAACTGAGCTATATTCCCAGTCCAACACTGACTTTTATTCTTAACACTCTGCCAATGTATTATACATGAGATCTTCTGTAAGAACAGGTTAACAAATGTTTTAAGACAGTGGGCACATTCATAAAGAAGGGAGATACCAAGAGAAATTAAGAAATATACTCTAGAGGTAATTAAGCTTCAGCAGAATAAATAAAACACACCAGGATGTTTCCATTAGAGGTTTCTAGAAAATCCAAACTAAATTGCTCATAGGGTCCTGGCCAGGCAACAAAAGGTTCCTTCCTATGTCAAGGTCTCCATTCTGAGCTTGGAAGATGCCCTTGTAGGAATTAATGGGTATCCACCTCTTCCATTATGCAGATGTGCTGTGGATCGACATTCCATGGATATAAACATCAATTTAACAATACTTTGTTCAGATTCCAATGTAGAAAACAAAATAGATAATCAGCTAGAATCCTACAGATAATAAAGGGGAAAAATTATGGTAAGTTGAGCATAATTTGTTGATTTTTATCTTCCTTCCAATTTAGTTTTAGTATATTAATTGAAGAGAAAAGAATTTCCACAAAATGAGCTTTTGGGAAGGCCTGAAAACTCTGACCTAAACAGTAGTGAGAAGGTCAATCACTCATGTTTTAAACATCTGGAGACCCAAGGGTTCTAGTTAGCTGATTACCTTTCCCATGGATTGAATAGTTCCCCATAGGTCCAAATAATGTAATGGTTTCAAAAGTTAGTGGATTATATTTTGTTCATCTGTGAATCAACATGAATAACTTCTACTTATTTAATATAATAAGGGAGAATTTGTCCTATTATACACAGGGGGAAAAGAGTATTAAAGGTAAGAAATTTCTCAATACTCAATGTGCTAATCTCAGCAATTAGGAAAATTATAAGTGCTTTAAATAAGAATTTAATTTTTAAAAAGGTGTTTATTTTAGAGAAAACAAAGTAATTGACTTGTAAAAACAAGTCATGGGAATGGGGTGTTTAAACATTATTTTTAATAACATGATTAATAGGATATTTAGAGAGAACATATAAAAATATAAAATAGGGTAATTGTGAAGTCCAAAATAGTAGGTATTTTTCAGTATTTTAGTATACATTCCTTTTTTTGATTTGTTCTTTTTAGTTGTACATGACAGTAGAATGTATTTTGACATATCATACATGCATGGAGTATGACTTCCCACTTTTGTGGTTATACATAATGTGGAGTTACTCTTGTGGTATATTCATATATGAACATAGGAAAGTTATGGCCATTTCTTTCTACTGTCTTCCCATTCCCATCCCCCAACTCTGCCCTGTCCAATCCCATGAAACTCCCCCTCTCCCCACCAACCCTTCCCTCTTACCTATTGTGAGTCAACATCCGCATATTAGAGAGGACATTTGGTCTTTGGTTTGTTGAGATTGGCTTATTTCACTTAGCATGATAGTCTCCAGTTCCATCCATTTACTGGCAAATGCCATAAGTTCATTCTTCTTTATGGCTGAGTGACATTCCATTGTGTAAATGTACCACATTTTCTTTATCCATTCATCTGTTGAAGGGCACCTAAGTTGGTTCCATAGCTTAGCTATTGTGAATTGAGCTGTGGACAGGTCTTTTCTAACTCAACATTGACAAAGAAAAGTCATTGAATGCAGTTTCTGAAATGTCACTGCTGTCTGTATCTGACTGTTCTTGGAGACTGGAATACTAGAACTCTGTTAGAAGTTTTCATAGAGTCCTTAGCAACCACCCAGCCTATGTCATGGACAGGGAGAGCAAGAACTACAGTCTTTGGTTCTAACTGGTGCTGGTTAATTAGTCTGAAGAAATTGAGAAAGAAATTCCATTGGCACAGTTAAGATCATAGCCATGGCGTCTGTAACATACCGGGAGCCAATATCTACAACTGTGGGAAGACGGATGATTTTTTCAGGTAAACAGAGTCTTGGTATACATACTCACAGAGGGAACTGAACTTTCTCTCTCTCTCACTTCTATGATTTTCATATAAGGGAGGTAATAATGAAATAATTACATGTGTTTATTTACATGGGTCTATCTGGTTATGCTCATTTGGTTTGGTGTTGCTATCTTGTTGCCATAAATACATCTTTATCAAAGTTGCCAAAATATCTGAGCCAATTTTTGCATTTTTATTAGCATGACATTTTTGGTTTGTGTAAGGAGAACTCCTTGATGTTAGTAAAAAGTTTACTTTTAATCAAATTTTCATTAGTGCTTTAAGCCTCTTGTATCATACAAACTTGATATATTTGCTTGATTAAAAATTTGAGCATGGGGGCTGGGGTTGTGGCTCAGTGATAGAGTGCTCGTCTGCATGTGCGAGGCCCTGGGTTCAATCCTCAGCACCACATAAAAACAAATAAACAAAATAAAGGTATTTAAAAAATTTGAGCATGATGTGCATTAAACCTAGTAAAGTTGTTGGGCTGTGCTTTATCTTTCCTTTTTAAAAAAATATTTATTTTTAAGCTTTAGGTGGACAGAATATCTCTATTTTACATTATGTGGTGCTGAGGATTGAACCCAGCACCTTGTGCATGCTAGGTGAGCACTCCACCATTGAGCCACAGCCCTATGTACTTTATCTTTCAATTTAAATAATTTGGGCCATATATGTGTGTGAAATTATGATTAAATAAAAACTAGAATATGACTAATTGTGATAAGTTCATAAGGCATAAACTAAGTTTCATCTTCTTTATTTTCCAAAATATAAGCATATTTTATAATATTACAGAAAGATAATAAAATGTATATTTATGGTAGGTATTTGTGATTTATGTTGATCATTAACTATCTCATCTACTTTGCTCTTGTAATATTCTCAACTTTGGAAAAACCACCCATTTCCCACAGAGAGTCTGCTTAAAAGAAGGTTATTTCAACTCTTGGGTTGTGTTGGAACAGATGGAGCACATGACCCTGACTAAACCAATTACACTTCATTTCCCTGGACAGAAGGGCTTCTAATGGGCATAGGACCCTTGTCATGCCAAGCAGGCCCAACTGGACTCAAAGATGAGAAGTATACCAAAAAAAAAATTGCTCCCACTGCTAAAGGGCAGTGATAATTTGAGTCTGAAGTTGCTGAAAAACCATGTAGAGGTTGGGAACAAATGGAGTCTACGTAAGAGCCAGTCTGAAAGAAGTAGAGTCAAGGAGAGGATCTGGGTGTTGAGTCCTGAAATAAACTACATCTGAGACCTCTCCTACCTCTGAGACTTGTTTTGAATAGACTTTATTTTGTAGAAAAGTGTATTTACAGAAAAATTACAAAGTTAGTACAGAGCATTCTAATATATCCCCCCACACACACACAGTTTCCTCAGTTATCATTACTATTATTAATTTTACTTGGTGTTGGGGATTGAAACTAGAGCCTAGTGCATGCTAAACACATACTGTGCCACTGAGCTAACCCCCCAACATTCCTTAATTGCTACATCTATGGCACATTTGTTACAATTCATGAACAAATATTGATAAAATCAGCTAAAATGCATACTTATTCATATTAGTGTTAGCTAATGTCCTTTTTCTGTTCCAAAATTCTATCCAGGATGCTGCATAACATTTGGTTGTCATATTTCCTTAGGTTCCTCTTGGTTTTGACAGTTTCTCAGACTTTTCTTGTTTTTGATGACCTTGACGGTTTTGAAGGAATACTAATCAGGTATATTGTAGGATGCTTCTCAATTTGGATCTGTCTGCTGTTTTTCTTATGATTAAACTGGGGTTTTGACTTTTTGGGAGAAAGATCATAGAGGTAAAGTGCCATTTTCATCATGTCATAGAAACGTACTGTCAACATGATCTGTGACTATTGATTTTGACCTTGATCACCTAGCTGACATGGTATTTGTTGGGTCTCTCCATTGTAAGGTCATTTTTTTCTCCCCTTTCTCTACTGTGCTCTTAGGAAGTTGCCATGGGCAGCCTATACTTAAGGAGAGGGAGTTTTGCTTCTTTTCCTTAAGGATAGAGCAGATATATATATACAGGATATCTGGAAATAATCTGCATGAGAGAATTGTCCTTTCTATCCTATTAATTTATTTAAAAACTCCTGGATATTCATGTTCTGTTAGAGCTATAATCAATGCTGATTGACCAATTTTGTTGGAAATTGTTCCAGCTTTGTGCATTGAGAGTTGTCAGCTTTCTCCTATGTCCCTTTAATGTATTCCCATCAATGTGGGTTGGCTTATCTGCTTTGCTTGGGGTAGCACTTCCTTACTTTCTGGTACTAGAAGTTTCTCCAAGATCATTTGTGTATTTCTTGCCCCAGTGCTAGAAGTGGCCATTTCTCCCAGAGCCCTAGTTCCTTTATTGGAGAATGGATTAGAAATCCATGTCTGTACACAAGATGTGCTAATTGCTACCGGACTCTTGTTTCCTTTAGGCCTTCTCAACTGACAGAGCAAGGAAATTTTTGTGTATATGCAAATCTATAAAATTTCCAAAGTGTAACCATCTGTGTCTATATTAAGTTCAAGGTGAATTTTTGATCATGTCTCCAACTCTAATCCATATCTATATGAATCATTCTGGCCTCTTCCCCTTGCTTATATGTAAAGCCCCACTCCAGTATTAAGAAATATGACTCCTACCTATATACCATCCATTTACTTATTTATTTAAAGTCTTCATGTACAGTACCATCAGAGTTAGTAATTCATATACACTTGGGGAAAAATCTTTACCAGCTTGAGTACAGTACTTACTTGCAATTCCTTTGGCTTTTAGTCTTACATACTGCCCTCGTTTCCTAAGTTATTTAAGTCAACAACTTTCCCCCCTGCTCCTTTAACGAAATTGTTTAGTACATTTGTAATATAGTCACAGTCACAGTCTGTGACTGTATATTCTTGTCTTAGTCTGAAGTACTTCCTGGAGTCCCCCAACCTCCTAAATAATTTTAAAATTTACATGCATTTAAGCTTACTATTTGTGCTATAAAGTAAAGGAGTTTTTGAAAATTCATAAGGACATGTACCCACCACTGTACAATCATACAGAATAGTTTCATTCCTCTAAAAATATCCTGTGCCTCACTTATTTCTTTCCATTCTTTTCTCCCCTGATTGCCTGACTTTTTTCACTTTTCCTGAATGTCTGCATTAATCAGCTTTTTGATGTTGTGAACAAAATACCTAACAAGAACAACGTAGAAGAGGGAAAGCTTATTTTTTCTCTCAGTTTCAGAGGGTCAGTCCATGGTTGGCCTACCCCATCATTCTGGGCCCAAAGTGAGACAGAACCTCATGGTGGAAGGATGTGGCAGATGAGCACTACTCCATTCATGGCATCCAGGAAGAAAAGGGAGGCAGCCATACAGAAGATGAACCCTTGCAGGGCATACCCCAGTGACCCATGCCCTCCTGCCCACCCCACCAGCCCATACTTAACATCCAGTTAATCCAAACTAGGAAGGACTGATTAGGTTATAGTTCTATTAATCCAATCACTTCATCTCTGAATATTCTTGCATTAACAGGAGCTTTCAGTGAACACCTGGTATCCAAACCATAGCAATATTATAGACCCAGAATCAGATATGGAGTCTTATTAGATTGTTCTTTCCCTCATCAGTAAGAACTCAATGATCCTTCATATCTTTCATGGCTTGATGGCTCATTTGTTTTTATTAATTAATATTTAATTGTCTAGATATGCCACAGTTTTCTTATCCATTCACCTATTGAAGGACATCTTGGTTGCTTCCAGTTTTGGACAATTGTGAAAAACAAATTCTATAAACTTTCATGTGCACGCTTTTGTCTACACATGTTTTCAAATCAATTTGGTAAATATCTAGGGGTGTGATTGGTAGATTATATGTTTAGCTTCATAATAAACTGCCCAACTGCTTTCCAAACTAGATATACCATTTTACACTTCCGCTAGCAACAAAGGAGAGTCCTTGTTGCTTTGCATTTTTATCCACATGTGGTATCTCTCTCTCTCTCTCTCTCTCTCTCTCTCTTTTTTACTTTCAATCATTCTAATCCATGTGTAGTTGAATCACATTGTTTCAATTCACAGTCCCCTAATTACCAATGTTGAGTATGTTTGCCGTTTGTATATTTTCATTGGTTAGGTATCTATTCATGTTTGTCCTTTATATAATGGGCTTTTTTTTTTTACTGTCTTATTGCCAAGTTTTACAAATTTTGTGTAGATTTTGCATACACAAGTCCTTGTTTTGCAAAAATTTTCTCCCAGTCAGCTACTTGTCTTTTCATCCTCTTACTGTAGTCCTTCAAAGACCAAAGTTCTTAATTTTAATAAAATGCAACATCAAGTTTTTCTCTCATAGATTATGCTTTTCATATTGTTTCTTCTGTGTTCTCTTCTAGAAGTCTGTGTTTTCATTTAAGTCTGTGATACATTTTGAAACAATTTTTGTGCCTCTTACATTTGTCATTTCCATCAGCCAATAAATTTCCTCTTTTCCTGGGCTAGGGCTGTAGCTCAGCAGCAGAGTGCTTGCCAAGCATGTGTGAGGCACTGGGTTGGATCCTCAGCATCACATAAAAATAAACAAATAAAATAAAGGCATTCTGTCCATTTTTTTAAATTTCTTTTATCCTTCAGTCAATTTAGGTTGGGTTTTTTCTCATTTGCAGCTATAAAACAATCTTAATTGACACTTAAAATTTAATTTTTGTCAGTGTTTATTTGTTATGTATTTACATGGTTCAGATTCTTGTCCCTTTGATAGATTTATGGTCTTTCATTGTATAATAGTCAGCTTCATATTCCCCTACATTTTATTTTAATTTCCAAATTTCACTGTCATTAATAAAGCCACATGAATATTTTAGCATACTTTTTTTTTCCTTTTTCTGTTATTTTCTTGTGGTATATTTGCAAAGAACAGAATTGACAGATGAAAAGAACAAATAG